AGTCTGTAGAAAGCTGATAAGCTTTCATATAAGATAGATTATTTTGAACAAGAAATAATGGCGGGAAGTGTATTTACTGTTAATATAATAGTTTGACAAATAGTTGGCATTTTAAAAATTCCTCACTTACTAACTATTCTGATGTTTTGGCAACGCTGTGGGGTTCTGACGACGTAAATCTTGAATGACGTGCAAGCTTTTTTATATGAAAATGCTATATGTGCGATTAGTCACACTGTAACGATATATTTTGCTTACCTCAGGGTAAAAACATGGGGGCAGAGATAGGGCAAACAAAATAATCGAAACTAGTGCGTACGGCACTCAGGAGGTTGTTGGAGAGCTGGGTCGTGGATAAGTTGAAATAAAATGGGTCGGATTGGGGTATCTACAAAATGAAAACAAAGGGATACTTACATAAATCTCCTGGGTCAAAAAAAAACGAATGGCAGACAATTTTTCTTTCTCCTGCTAGGAGAAAGAAAAATTCTTCTACCCCAAAATCAAAAATACATACAAGGGTTAGGAGACTTTTCTAAATTAAAACACAAAATGGATCAGAGAAACAAATCACACGTTTATTTTTGTCTCAAACAAACAGTTATCAAAAATACAGATTGCACAAGAAGCATACTATATAATAATACAAAATTAACAAAACTTACATGTTTATCTGTTTACAACAGGAGATTGCTACAAAATTTTGGAAATGGTTCCTAGGTTATTTAGTAATACGGCCAAATTATATTATTAAAAATTAAGGACATCCTTATTAATGAAAAACATCATAAAATTTAACCTTATATATGAAATATCTTTTCTATAATATAATCAAATCAAAATTGTTTTACAACAATAATGAATTAGAGCCAATATGTCATATGTCAACATAACATTTTAAGACAGAATAAATTATGACATTTTTTAGCTACGACTCTAACATAATATAAAACTTGAATTATTACAAATTCTTTAATGTTTAATGAAAGCAATTATTAAAAAATGTCTATTTTACTTGAAAAAATTAATATATTAAATGTTACCTTATTTCACATATTGCACTTAACTTTGAAACTTGCTAAACATCTATGGGATATCTGGACATATTATCCAACAGGAGCAAGGAAACCATTTCCATACTCAGGAACGAAGATCTGACGTAAATGGGTTCGGCGGAGGAATCAAGCTGACGAACAAAACTGGTGGGATATCCTATATAATCTTTTTCAAAATTTTATCAGTTCCGGTGTACTGCACAAATCTTTTGGTTGATACTCTGTTTAAGATGCCATCATTGCAAAAGAGTATTTTCAACCTCTCACCGGTTTTTGAAATTAAAACATAACACAAAAAAATTGAATCGACTGTTGATTCAAAATCGCCCAAAACGTTTTCTCAGTTTAACTGCTGTAGCTTGACTGACCTTTTCTTTCCTTAGACTCCCAACTAAACGCAATTCAAATTTCTCTTCACGTCTCCGCAGCTAGTTTGTGGTCTACTAAACCTAAACAAACAATATTACCCCTCGCTCGTTCTTAACAACTTACAACAAAAAATCTTTTTTCAACCGGAATATTTGTGGGCTCATGTAAACAAATCGTTTTCAGCGACAAAAACATGTTGAAATATTTATTTTTAAATTGGGTAAAAATAACACGTATTTATTGAATATTCTAGCGTCCCTAATTTTAACCGGAGTTTCAACCTGACATTATAACAGAGATAAAAACATCTATATTTTGAAACAACTGAATACAAAACTTAAAACAGAATTTGTACTATTATATAGATACTAAATATAAAACGCTACAACACTCTCAAATACTTAAGAGCTTTCGGAGAAATTATAGTGTCAGATCCAGAATCGATCAAAATTTTGTACCGTGTCTTGGTGTTCTTCTAATGGTATTATTGGAAACATCCTGATAATTTTCATTCTGAAGAATCTGGTTCAAATTCAAAATTGTCAATATTATTGTAGAGGTGCTCGTTATAATTAGAACCAACATTAAAATTATGGTTTTTGTTAGCTGTAACTGTTATAGGTTGATGATTTCTGGTTGAGATGGTTTGGATATCACTGATAGGAGAGGAATAATTTTGTTGATTTCGGTAATGTTTGTGTTTGTTCAGTGTATGCTGCATATTTCTTGAGGAACTATGACCTAGAAGAATATTTCTTGAGAAATTTGTTTGCAAATATCTCATGAGTATTAAAATTTTGTTGGGAAGAAAAATTCAAATTTAGCTGAAAAACTAAATTAAATATTGCTTAAGTGGTACGGGAAGGGGACCTTACGTAATTTGATTTTGTGGTGTGACAATTTGTAAATCTTTGGTTATGCGAAAATTGGTTGCGATGATAGGTTTATTTGTTATTGGGACCTTTTGTTTTGGTGTTTTTTTAAGAAATTTCCTGGTACATGTACTTTTTCTCTCTCTATGCTGACTTGTTTCTCCTGGTAGAGGGCTTTTTCTTCCTGTATGCGAACTTGTTTCTCCTGGTAAATGGACTGTCGTTTTCTTGTACTTAGATATTTTCTACTGAACATATTTCCTGGGTTTATTATGCATGTTTGTTTAACTTAAAGGCTCGTTTTATTTCTTGGCTGTTCCGAAAATAAAACATTCTTAGCTGAGGGGTATTCCGTTGGAATTAGATCGGACTGGCGCCCATTCTTCCACCTGTTCTGGTCAAAAGAACTCCGACACACTTCGCTGCCTGACAGGGTTTAGCTAGCCGGACATACTCCTATGTCTCCCATTCTTGTAAGTGACTTGAAAGGTAGAGGCGACAACCTTCGTCGTTTACTTTCAGAACAAGCGTCGAATTGAAGTTAAATTTTGTTCGGGTACAGGCCCAAATCACTATGCAAAATTCGCCCAGTTATGGTGTTGGTTGATTGTTTACTGAGCAAGCCGATTCAAATATATTCACCTATCTGCGAATAGTCCTCTCGGTAGGATGTTAATAGTGACTGTAAAATGGATACAACGGCGGAAGTTTGCCCGAATAGAGCACACATTTTGGAAAAATAATTTTATCATTTGTACGTATGTTACGCTAATAGACTAGAATTAGACTAGGAAAATAAACTAACTAAATCTCGGATAACACTGATATCGGGCATTTGCTTAAAATAAACCAAAACTTCAAAAGTTATGCCATATGTAAATAGTTTATTAAGTATAATTGAAGTATGTAAACTCGTCAAAAAACCAATCTTAGAGATTTGACAATCCATCGACGCATTACGTTGATTCCTGTACATGGTGGGTAGGCAGTTTACTTAAATATTTTTAAAAGCTGTTTGATTCTTCGATTTGTCAATAAGTAGATGTCCTAATTTGAAGGATTCCGAAGGGTTGCTACACATCAAAAGAGTTAAGAGTTTAGGTGCCAGTGTTTTGGTTGGAAGAATTCTGAAATTGGGACCCGTTTCGTCATCATTTAAGATTTGGTCTCACTTGAGGTCATGTTCTAAAATGAGATCTCTCAATTTTAAATTAAACTGCTTAATTTCAGATGTATTGGCCGTAAGTTTTTTACCCGAAATGCTCAGTTGTCGGATGCCATACCTCTTCTTCCTTCTATTGAACCAACCATCACTTGCAGTAAAATTTTCCTCACCATCCTTAAACCGTTTGTGAAACTCCATAGTCTTAACTTGAAGCATGGGGCCACTAATTGGACTTCTCAACCCTTAAAGATTAGAAAACCATAAAAATAAGGCTTCAGAAGGCTGTTCGTATTAGTTTTCTACAACAAATCACGTCCACCACTCACACTTTTATTAACCCATGATTCAATATCCTTTCGTTTACATCTTCAATCTCCCACAATCACTTCTCCAACACCTAGGTCAGCAGGAACCTTCTTTACTAGCTCACTCTTTTCCAAGCGTTTTATAGCACTTAAAAAAAACCACAACTCGTTTACGTTTTAAACTCGTATTGCACTTCAAGTTACGTAGGAACTACACAAAGAGAAGATAAGAATGAACTTGTTAAGAGCTTACAGTGGGACAAACCGAACAACTAGCTATGATCACTCAAACTGACGGGTGGGGGAGTGGGTGGGCATGGGGCCAGTAGAAGCATAGTGGCTAAAACAATAACAGTCGCTAGTGACTCATCTCTTCAGTGTACCAACAGCCAGCGCAAACGCTTTCACTTGATCTCGCTTTTCAAGCTAATTTATTACATAATTTGTTCTTTTCAATTACTACCTTGGTTAATCCAGAGGCTCGGTTAGTTGGGACTCGCATAATCGTGAGTCTACTGTAATTAAACGTTTCGGACTTACTGGTCCACGATCACTGCATTTATCTGGAATAAGTGTAACCACTTCAGTGAATACAAACGTAAGGATTAAGGTTAATAAGCAATGTGGTTAAATTCTTACCAGGTATGCATTAGAGAAGCCACTAAATATGTGGGTAACGTGGTATTATGAAAAACCACGTACAAAACTGTACACCCAATCAATACAAAAATTTTCCAGGTACCAAATATTATCTTTCAACATAAAGAGCCTTATTATCATCTAGGTTTACATTTAACCAGCTTTTACAACGACATCTTACTAAATAGTGTTATACACTTACATTCATACCCTGATCTTGCATTTACCTTTGTATTATATAGAATTTATTTTATATAAATACTTAAAGTAATATCTTTCCTAACCACATATTGACTATTACATACTCCACATTAAATTAAGTTTCTGTTTATTAGGTTTCTATTTTTAACAATTTCACACATCCAACAATTTAACACTCAGTCACCAACAATAATTAACTCAACATCATACACATATCTGTCATTTAATTTTTATTAGGTACCAAATATTGTTTACAAACATATAGAGCCTTATCATTTTTTTAGTTTTCTGGGATACATTAGATATTTGTATTATTTTTGCCTACTTATAATCCAAATATTCTCTTTTCGTATAAAATTATTATACAATTTTTAACACAGGATTTATGTTACAGGAGTGCACTTTAAATAAACGACAAGTTGTACGTAGACTAAATAATTCACCAGTGAAAATTTCTAGTCCATGTAATGATAATAATAGTCAATGTCAAGATCTAAAGTTGACACGTTCTCGAAGACAAATGAATAGCCATCGCACTAATATACCAAACAAAAATAATAACAATTTCACCGAACCACACAGACCTAGTATAAGAAAACCATATAAAAGAATAAGAAGTCCGGGACCAGACGATAATTCTCCAGGTTAGTGGCATTCATAATATACAGTATTTCTTTGTGTTCAGAGTTCATCTCCTCATCAAAGATTGTAGATCCGTCATCTTATTATAATATTTTAATTAGAATTTTTTAAAAGTCTAATTTAAAAACTGTCTCCGCCCTACAAGTGTGTTTAGACTAACAATAATAAGAAACACCAGAAACAGAAAATTGTCTTACCCATATACTATTACTGTCCATTTAAAAGGAAATCTATCTATTTCCCTTAAATTGATAACTTAAACTTACCGTTGATAGATGGCTCCTGTAGAGTTTACTGTCAAACATATCAATCAAGATATTTCATCAGTTGCTCGCTTTAAAAGTTTGTTTACATACTGGCATGACATTTTTTGTTTTGTTTTTTAATCAAACATGGATGTTGCTAATTGAAGGTAAGTTGTTTTTAATTACAAATCAAATGTGGGCGTTTTAGATTATTTGATTTACGTACGTGTAATTATAGTGGAAATATTGCTTTCATATTATTGAGTTTTTTGTTACTTTCTTGTGTACGGCCATTTTCGTTTTGTTGTTTTAAAAGGACAGTAGTAATAAGCACTACAAAATGGTTTTTTTTTGGGAAACCGTTAAAATTGCATGAGTTAATTGCAGAACTTGAGGCACATGAGATTCCAACGTCTCCTGATGGTATAATTATTTTTCCTCCAGACAATGCAAATAATAATATAACATATTGCGATTCAAGAGACGAGGATGTCACAACGCTAGACTATTTACCAGGAAGCCAGCTGAGAAATGACGTGGAGGTTATTTTCGACAATCAAGATCAGAGTGCAGAAGAGTCAGATTCCGACGACGACGTACCTCTTGCCACACTACACAAAGAAGAAATAAAACCTTCGATTATTCTCGAAAAACTAAGATCTGCACAATCGCTTATAGATAATCTTTACTAGCATCCTAAAAATGTTTACTGGAGATCAGAAGTCAGACTTAAACAAAATCACACGTCATTACAGCTCTTCAGGCTATTTTTTGATGAGAATCTATTCGATATGATAACAACATATACAAATACACACTCAGCACAAAAAAACTTGACTAGTGATATTACAGATAATGAAATTAGCTGTTTTGTGGGTGTGCTTATTTTGAGTGGCTGCGTGGTGTTACCAAAAATATATATATATATATATATATATATATATATATATATATATATATATATATATATATATATATATATATATATATATATATATTGGGAAAATCGTGATTATAGAATGAAAAAGTCGCTGGAGCTCTATCGAGAGATAGATTTTCCCATATAATGAAAATTCTCCGTGTGTGATAATAATATGACAAGTTTGCTAAAATTCGGCTATTAAATGATGCACGAACAAGAATATAGTCTAGATGAAGCTATGGTACCATATTTTGGAAGGCACCCTACGAAACAATTTATACGAAACAAAGACATTCGTTGGGGTTATAAGCTTTGGATGGGTACTCTCCGTCTAGGCTATATTGTATGGTTTACACCGTATCAAGGCAACTCAGTGCAAATACCAGCCTCATACAAAAACTTGGGTTCGTCGGTTGTTTTGTCTTATGCAGATATGCTTAAATCACGCTGGCCAAAAACGAGATTCCACCTTTTTTTGATAACTTCTTATCCATGCATCTACTAAATGAGTTAAAAACTAGAGGTCTTTTCGGTACAGGTACAATAAGGGACAAAAAAAAAGGAAACGGAAACTTACGGTTACAGATTATAAAAACACAGGAATTGTGGTTTGTCGCTGGCACGACAATAGTGTCGTTACAATTCCATCTAACTTTTGTTCATATTGTTCCGAAGCTATTTTCTTGTGACATTTTAAATTAATTACCATTTAAATGGGAATACGCCATAATTAAAGGTTAAAGTACGTTTATTGACGTTTCAATTTCAACTTCGGAAATCGTTCTCAAAATACAAACATTAGTAAATTAAACAAATTTGGTTTATTTGTTACTTAATGAAAAATTCTTCTAATAATTTAATTTTATTGGACTCAGTTATATTGACAATTCAGACATACAGTATGCATTTTAAAGTAGACGACTTTAAAATTATATTGCCAATATTATTGAGTTGCGCTCCTGGAATGACTTTACTTATAAGATAGTTCATTCGATTACATGGAATCAACTTTAACTTGAGAATATCTGTCAGAAAAAATCATAGCATGTAATTCGTCTTTAAAAAGACAAACACATGCCATGATGACAGTAAAATTCTCCTGTTAGTGATTCCGTAGTAAATTATGAGGGAAAAACCAGGAAAAAACCTCATAATACTATCACGACTTGGTAAGTATTTGGCCGTGCATTTAGTTTACCGTTAATAAACACCAAATTCTGATTTTGTATGTTTGTTATTTTTTTTAACATCCAATGTTTATTGCAATCTGTCTCATTACACACAATAAGCAATATGTGTAATTTATGTACAATAACATAGTGGGACGTCGTCCAGTGGCAAGCACCCAGGTAAGACATAATATAAATATAATATATGATATAACAATTAATTTAAACTTCAACTTAACAAACAAATTTAATACAGATAAACATCACTGACACACATATAAGTATTGCAAGACTAAAAAATGGAAAAAAAGAAAAAAAATCAAGAAAAGATTTAGAAAACACCAGAATAAAAACTTGTTATTTCACCGCACTATGACACTATACTCTGTTTCTCCATGTTTACTAGAGGTCCAAAGGGTCTGGTCGTTTTAATCTTCTTTCGTGTGAAATGTTGAGCAAATCCGTGGCCAGCGGATTTGGATGGCAGGATAGTCTGGTCTTGTATACAGCGTTTACGGCAGATATTGCTTCGCTAACTGTTGGTACACTAAACATTACTGTCATATAAAATAATCTCTAGTCTTCTCAGAAAAAGCCTTTCAAATACTTTAGATATAATAGGTAACAAGCTAATTGGGCGATATGAAGATACTTCCGTGTGATCTTTATTAGGTTTTGGAATAAGAATAATTTGAGCAACTATCCATTGGAGTGGAAAATAACCTGTTTTTAATATTGAATTAAATATGTAAATAATTAGACTTACGCCTTCATTTTGTAGATTTTTTAGTACTAGATATTAAGACATATCCAGGTGACTTTTTATTTTCCAGATTATTAATTATTTCTTTGATCTTTGATTTCCTAATAGATTTAATAGGTGGAGCCATTTGATATGGTACATTTAGGACTTCATGAATACCTTGCTCTTCTTCAACTGAGACTTCCCTCTGATGCGGTTGAAATACCTCGCATAGATGATTCGCAAAAGTATATGCTTTATCTATGTCAGTTTTAGCCCAAGTGCCATTTTGTTTCCTGATTGGCATATTCATTTGATCGTTGTGTTTAAGTTTGTTTGTTAGTTTCCACAGCGAATAGTTTGTATCATCTGCAGGTGAGAGGTTCTTTAAATATCTGTTGATTCCATTGTCTTTATCTTGTCATTGTCTTTATCTTGTCATTGTCTTTTATGTCTTTATGATCAGTTTTCTTTTGAGTAGTCTGCAAGCTCTATTAAGATTTGCTTTATCTTCTGGATGTCTAGTGAGCTGCCACTTCTTTCGCAGTTTTCTTTTTTTTCCAATATGAGTGAATTTATGTGAGCAGGATAGGACTCAGAGTTGTGTTTGTGAGTAAATTCTGGGGTAGACGTCCAAGCAGCTTGCTGAATAACTGTAGTTAGGTGAGCAACTGCATTTTCTATGTCGCTATCACTTTTAAGAGGCAAGTTTAGGTTAATGGTTGTTTTTATTTCTTCTCTATATCTGTTCCAGTTTGTTCTTTTATTAGAAGTAGAAATTTGGAGATAGGTATGTGATATTCCTTTTACTATAGCGAAATCAATAAGATCAGGATTTTATTGTCTATCAGTGGGCCAATACGTAGGCTCTCCACTAGAGAAAGGAATTAAACGATTCTCATTAATACTTTTTAATAATTCTCATCCACGTGAGGTTATGATTCTGGAACTCCATTTATGATGTTTGGCATTAAAATCTCCAGCAGTAATAAAACGGTGTCCGAGCATCTTAAAGTATTCAGTAAAATGATCAGCTTTAATTATTTTATTCGGTGGAGAGTAAACAGCAGATAGAATAATCGGGTGAATTTTCGACCGACACTGATGTGGCGTGGATGTTAACTTTACTAATTTTATTTATTTCATGATGCTTAATGTTGTTTCTTATAATAATTGCCGTACCTCCGTGGGCTTTACCTAATGGATGATGAGTTACATAGGTTAAATATTTGGGAATATAGAAATGGCTCTTATTAGTCATGTGTGCTTCGGAAATAAACATTACATCTAGATTATCGGAGTAAATAAATGCTTTAACTTCGTGGAAATGATTGGTTAAGCCATTAACCTATGTACTAGTAGTTCTAGATTATTTTGTATATGTTGAGGAGTTGTTGTTTCTATTGCATGAGAAGTCTCATCTATGTTAGATGTATTTCTATTTTCTCTTCCTGCAGCAATTTTCGCATAGCCGATGGTTGGTTGAGTCATTGAAGGATTTACTGCACGAGGACTGGCGTTTTTTTCTCGCAGTGTTGGAATTTTTTTTTTCTGCAGCTCTTTGTACACTGAACATCCTTTATAGCTGGCAGGATGATTTTCTAGACAATTTACACATTGAACATCTTTTATGTTTTTTTGTTTTGGACATTGAGAAGATAGGTGATTGCCCACGCATTTTACACAGCGCGGACTCCTGTGGCAATAATTGTGCGTATGGCCAAAATGCTGACATCTTTGACATTGGGGTAGTTCCCTTTTCGGGTGCGGTGGCTCAACTGTGACAATAGAGTTGAGTAATTTTGTCATATCACATATGTCTTTATTATTACTTTGAATGGCCAGTTCTATATTAAATAATGGCAGATCTTTTTTTGTGCATCTTTGCTTAATGTTGAAGATGTTCATTGCTGTATGTCCGTGC